TTGTTTCTGACCATATTTTGGCTTGTGTGCCCACACCTCACACTGCTAATTTTACCAGTGTTAAACATCTGGTCAGTCCCTGTTACCATCTCTCTTTTTGTCTGTTTGTATCGCTTAAAGCCAGAAAGCACAGATCTCTGTTACACAGTCATCTTTCTTTTTCAGTTGTGTTTTTACAAGGAATAGTTAGCTAAATTATACCTGATTGCAGATAACATCTCTTTGATGTTGAAGCTCCATATCTTTCTTCAATCTTGAAATTTTATCTTATTACAACTAATTTGGGGTTAGAAATCTGGAGAGGAAGAGGAGGGGGAAATCTTGCCACTGATTTCCTATAATGAAGCAGTCTATTAACATTCTCCAAAAATTATCATTAATTAAACAAAAAGCTCATCTAATGCTAGGAACAGGAATATTTCTGTACCATCAGAAAAGCAGCGAGTGGGAAATATCATTATGATTCCACTTTAAAGAGCTTGTCTCTTCTGCCAGGCTCTAACACTGCAGAAGTGAGAGAGCAAGTGAGCTGTGCGTTTGGGCTGTGGATTAATAGTTGAAGTTCACTCGTGTGGAAATAAAGCAGATTTTACTGTGACTGGAATCTGTCATTAAAAAGCCATTATCGGAACCGACCGGCACGATTCCTGCTCTTTCATTGCTAATGACAAAACAATCTGTTCTTTAAAAAACAACAACCCTATATTTGCTTTCAGAGAATGGTGCAGGAGACTTACCAGAACAGGAGCCGGGTGAGGAGAGGCAGTTGAAAGATTTATTGATCAATAAACCAGACAATTACAGCTTGTTTATAATAGGAAAAAGAAAAAAAAACCCAACCAACCACCAAAGCCGAACCTCAGGCCTGCAAGCAACGCTGAGACTCTAATAATGATAACTAACTCTGGCATCCAGCTTGAAACGATAATAAGATATAGGATTTCAATAAAATTATGACACTAGACAAACTTTACCGTAGGAACAAAATTTCCCTGGGTGTGTGACTGACTTCAGTTAGATTTGTAACTTTAATTTCTTTCTTATTGATTTTTCTTTTCTTCGACTAATTAGGAAGTCTGTGGTGAATTGTGTGTATGTATGTGTGAGGAGGGGCTAACAATGAGCAACAGGAACAGGGCCTGAGTTTGTGTATATGTGGATGAGGTCAGATAGCTTTTTAAATTTTCTTGGCTACATTTTCCTCTTCAGGTGCTTCTGATACAGAGCTGGGAGTCACTCTCCTGCTCCTCAGTGTGCACGTATTTGAAGGTGCAGGTAGCCCTCGGTGGTGCAGCTTCGGCCACCCAGGGGGTATTGCTGGAGATGATGATCATGGTCCTTATGTGAACAGTTCTCAGGTCTTTCCCTGAAATTAACCCAAACAGCCCTGGAGGAGCCCACTTGTATTACTGTTGTTTCTAAACCACTCTGGTGACACTCTGGTGGGTGGGTGCCAGAGAAAGAGATTTTCCCTCAGCTTCAGGCTGCTCACTAACCAGGACTGATTTGGGCTTCACACAGATGGAATAGAGGAGCTGGTGGGAGAAGCTTTATCTTAGAGACGGTGTTTAGCAGATGTGCCATCCTGTACTTTACTATAGCAGATTAGCTCTAGTTCGAGGTTAAGATTATAAAACACGTTTTCTTTTCAGTTACTTAGGCTATAGTAGGAGGCATATTTGTTTGGTGAATTGGCTGTTCCTGGCAGAAGGAATGGAAACTGTTCAACCTTTTGAAAAATTTACTATCTTTCCTCTTTTTCGAACTTACTCCTCCTCAAACACAGCTGCAAGCTGCAGCTCCAGAGTTTGCTGTAGGGCATTAATTTTCTGGGTTTGTAATGAACATCAAAACCAATTGTTCTGCTTTTAGGGCATGTTTAGAGTAAGCTGCATTTCTGTTCTGGTGTTGATTTGAACTGGTCAAGGTAAAGAGCACCTGGAAGTATGCCAGCATTAAGTTAGCAGACTTGCACTGTGCTGGATAAGTTCTGGAAATTCCCACAGGAATTTAGTAATTTTGGTGAATACTCCTGAGAGAAAGCAGGAAGGCAGAGGTGTTGGAAATAGGTTAGAAAGGGCATCTGAAAGTCCCTGGGATATTTTTGATGGGGCTTGGGGAATATCCTGTTGTGTGGGATGAGGAGATATTACAGCAATTACTAAATTAGGATTACATTTTAGAGAATCTTTTTAGACAGAGGGCTTCTCAAGAAGAACTGTTTCCTGCCAAACTCACAAGATCTTTAGGAGCGAGGAAAAAGCTTTCAGTAAGTGCTCTTGATGGGGAGAAATTTAAAAAATTGAGCTGGGGACCACTTGTTGGAAGCTGAGAATTGATTTCATTACAGTATTAATATTTAGAAATAATTAAAGAGGAGAACTAAACTCCAGAATCAAGTGTGTAATTGTATCACCCTTTATTTCACCACCTTTTTTCCCAATACGGCTTGTGCTGTGTTTACCGTGCATGTTGTTTCTCGAGAAGTTTACTCTTCCTTTAAGAGAAAGGCTTTGAAGAGCCTGTGGTTGATTTACGGGGAAAGACAGCTCGTAGGCATGTCCTGCTCCCATGCAATCTTCCCATCCTAACATGAAAGCAGAAGTTTGTCCTTGCAGCTGAAGAGCTTGGCGAACTGCTGGGATCTTTCTGGGGATGACTTGAACGACCTAATATTCAGCAGTTAATTGGAAGCCAAGTGTGATGGGAATTGCCAGGAGTCCTGTTTGCTGTTGAATAAAATGTTAAGGATTTTGGGACTGCCCTGCTGTAACGGAGAGAACATTGCAGTGTTACATTATCACACTGATGAAGGATGCTTAGTAGAAAATTAGAATGGTGGAGCAGCTAGGAATACAGAGAAAGAGAGAGGATGCTGTAATCGCAGATCTAATTGCAACAACATGCAAGGATCAAACCAGTACCTTCGCTAAACGCTGTCATTACATTCTCTTCTGTGGTCTAGACGGTGATTCTGCAGGAGATGGGAAATGAAAGTTGTCTCCTGGGCAAAAGCAGTGTGCCTGCTGGAGACGGCGATGGGCAGGCTGGGCGTTGTGTCTGTACCTTGCGGGGGGAGCAGGAGGATGGAGTGATCCTGTCCTGCTGCCTTTCTGCTAAACAAGTTCGTCACGAGGTGGGTGTGGTGTGACTGGGTTTGGGTTTTCTTCTGCAGTAACGTGGAAGAATTACCTTTTGTATGTCATGTCAGATGAATAATGTTTTCTAAACTGTGGCAAAACTGTTCTTCCCCTGGAAAAATACTTCTCTTCAGTCAGGCCTGAGCAAGGAACTAGTAATATCTTCCAGTACTATTTATGTTAAAATCTGTTTTTCTTTATTATTTTATTAACTTGGTTACTGGAGCCTCAGGCTGTCCTTTGGTCTTGGGGTCCTTTTACCTGCTGACTGACCCAACCATCTCAGCTGACCTTTCCATCTGTGACGTGCTCTGAGCACACACTGTACCTCTGGCAGTGCCCCTAGTCTTATTTCTACACCTTGAATGTGAAGATTCTTTCCCTTCCCCCTGCATACACTTCTTATCTGTGTTCAGTCTTTGACCTTTAGATTTTGAAGGAGGAGACAACCTTTGTATACAGGCTTGCTCAGATGAGTGGTTGCCGTCACCTCTATCTCGAATACAGTCTTTTTTATTTGACAGTGGGGACAGAAGGACTTTTTTTTCCCTAGCCTGGCAATTCCTGATTTCCCCAAGAGAGCAGGATCCCAGGGAAGCGTTTCAGCGTGGCCAGGCTGGGCTTGTGAAGTGCTCCAGGTTCAGTGTGGGGGCAGTGGCCTGGCCTGGAAGTGAACCCCACAGCTGTAAAGTTGAGTGAATAGTAATATTTTAGCTTTTTGTAGTGGCAGAATTAACACCAGGGAGGGGGCTTGTCTGGGGCACTTGAGTGTTTCTTTCCCAGGGTGAGGTAGCGAATTTCAGCAATAAGCGGAGGGAGCACTGTAAGATTTCCAAGGAGTATTTGTTCTTTGGTTTTATGCCAGGCACCTGCGCTGCTCTGACCCTGTTCTGTAGCCTCACAGACATCAGGGTTCTCCCGTGCAGTCAGGAAGATAAAACACTTCATCAGCTGGCTAATCCCTGTATGCATATTCCACTGAAAATGGTCATCTTCTTAAAACAAGGCTGACTTTTAAGATTTTTCAGCCTTTTGTCTGCATTCCCCTTTTCTATAAGTGCCTTGGAGGCAGATGTTAGGTGCTGTCTAAGTTGGGGATGCATTAGGAAATACTTCAACCAGGAGCTCGCACAAAAAGTTCTCCCATTAGTTTTCAGCCCCAGCTTTATGCTTGGGTGTGTGAATGCTCTTGGGCATGGGAGAGAGAGATACTTCTTTTTGTTTTCTTTGAAAATGCTTGGTTCTAATTGACAGCAAATAGCAAAGTGAGCTAAACACCTTGTCTGTGAGATACTTACCTCTGGAAAAAATATTTATAAACTTTGAGTGTTGCAGTGTTTAAGGACTGGTAAGTCACGTACCAGTTAGAGGATATTTGCTCTCAGACGCTTCATTTGTTGTCAAATCTGCTTCATTTCTGTTGTGACAATTCTGTTCATTCATTGCTGGAACTCTTTGGCAGAAAAATGTCAAGTACTACACTAAATATTTTGCTGAAGAAACCCATTCAGCCATGTTGAATTAGAAAAGTGTCTCCAAAAAGAAGGCAGGCTCTGTTTTCAGTTGCCATCTGCTTGTTAGAGTGTATGCCTGTTGCTTTCCTGCAAGGAATATGTGGTTTTATATACACCAGACAGTCTAATTTTTCACTTTTCAAAGCGACAACATTTGTTTTCATAGAACAGCAGGTTCATCTGTGGCATGATGCTGGTATGAAGATGATGAGAGTACGTCCATCAGGGTTTCTTTGCCGTGTAAAAGGACAATGGGAAAAAGTGGAGAATATTGTTCTGAGAACCCTCTCCTTGGAATGAGGTCAGGGACTTTATCCCTGAAGATGTTTACTGTTCTTCCCTGCAGGAGCGTGATGGGATGCGAGCAATCCTGGAATCGTACGACAGCGAGCTGACCCCGTCGGAGCACTCGCCCCAGCTGAACCGGCGTATGCGTGAGGCCGAGGAGATGGTGCAGAAGCTGCACGCTCACAACACTGAGCTGGAGGTAATAAAAAAGCATCATGCTCTAACCCCAGGGGTGAAGTGGTTGAGACTTTTAAGATTGAATTGCCTGGTCATGTGATCTGCTCTCACAGAAGACGGATTTGCAAAATTCAGGCTTCAAAATACCAGGATCAGTAAGACCCACAAGTTATTATTCTGCACCTGAAGCTGGGAAGCCAGAAAAAAATAATCATCTTTGGGTGTGGTGAGTGTGCTTTGTGTTAAGCAGAGTTGTGCTGCACGGCTGGAGTGACAACTTGTACCTGCAGGTTAAAGGCTTGTGGGAAGGGGAAGAAATGTAGCGGGTTTGGTGTCTTCTCTGTGGTCTAATCCAAGCGGCTCACTCTATCATGTGTGTAGCAAGGCTGGTCTGTACACAGTGTGAGTGAGCGTGTGTTTGTAAGAGCTTTACTCTGAGGGCTGTAAGAACTGACGTATGTGTCTGCTCTTAATTCATCACTTCTTGGCATTGGGCCTGAAACCCCCAGAATACCAGTAACTCTATTAAATGCTTTTTACTAGATTTTCTCTAAGAGAAATCTTTCTTTCCAAAGATAGAAGTATTTCCTGATGGAATTATTTTATTATTTTTAGTTCTCCTTTTGAAAATTTGTAGTCTGCAATATGATTGTAATGAGGTAAATGTTAACATCCATTTGCCATGTTCCTCTCTTCTCTTTTCTACTCTGTCATAGTGGAATGGGCTTTATAGTCATGAGTTGAAATATTTGGAATACGTTCGTGATCTTAAAGCTTGGCAGTTTCATTACACAGACTTTACAGTAGTCGTAAGTATGTGAGTTTTCCTTTATTCATGCCCAGTTCCCCCATCACGTAGATTTACAGATGCCATAATTCAAATGCAGTAAAGCTTGTAGAAATTGATGCTCCTCAGGTTCATGTTCAAGCCGCAGAGTGGCTTGTCCCACTGAGCACAAACCTCTTTGTTGCCTCTGGCATCCTTAAAAATGCTCTTTTGTGTTACTGGGTGGGAGCTTAGGCAATACTGGCTTCAGTGATCTTTAAAGCATTAGCAAGCAGAAGAACGTAGTGTGATATTGATCAGTATCAGCTTCTCAGAAAAAGAATTCTGCAAAGTTTGGGACAAGCTGATAAAGAAGTTAGCTGGTAACATCAGATGAATTGGAAATTTGCTTGAGTTTATCTGTCTCAGATTGTTACTTTATGTTGTCTTTTGATCACCGTATTGCTTAGCACCAGACCACAGGATTAGACGACACTGACATAAAGTATTAGCTGGCTATTTTGTTCTGTTTTCTTTGGTGTTTCCATCAGTGACTCTGAGTTGTTGGGGGGAGATTTCCTGAATGGTTTCACTGCAGAGGTCAGAAGTGTGTGACATCTTTGGGCAATAGCAAATTACCTTTTCTTCTTCGGGTGAAAGCATGGAGAGTCTGGGAACCAATTGCTACACCCCTTTATTTATAGAAAACAAATTTAAATTTCCTTTCATGGGTATGGATTAAGGGCTACATGGAAAATTTCAGAAAGGAGCTGTGTTCTCTGGAGGTTTGTTTTGTGTGATGTCAACCTTTAAGCCTTTCAAAGACTTTGCTAGAAGCAGGATTCAAAGACCTGATATTCTCCTTGTAAAGTAAAATTTTACGCTTCACTCGATTGTGCTTGCCTTTCTGACTGCAGCCTTGACTGCCGAATCCCATCTGTTTCAAAATTCAAGGGAAAAGTTTTTTGTTCTAGCAAAAATCTGAAGAATGGAATGGGAAATTGAGGTTCAGGCAGGACTTCTGGTGCCTCATCATCAGGAGCAGCGACTCTAATCAACTGCCTGTAGATCAAAGAACTGGTCGATAGCAGCTATTAATAACTTCTAACATAATGCTCTGCACCCTCCCAGCTCTGCTGAGCCTCTGTACAAATTTTAGAAATGTTGACACCTGCATGACTCATCTCACAAGCAGTGAATGAGGCACCTTGGAGCCTTGGTTGTTTCTGAGATGTGGGAGAAACAATCTGTGGTGGGGAGGGCTGGGAAGGCAGCAATAAAAGGAACTTCAACACGTTAAAGTCGAAGTGGGGCAGGGTCAGGGCATCTCAGGAGCCCCTGGTGTGGAAGGGCTCGGGAGGGCAGCCCAGCCAGCTCGTACGATAGCACAGAAGGATAAGAAGAGCCTGTCTGCGAGCGTCATGTGCGTGGTGGCAAACCAGTGACGTGCGCAACTATTCCGACGGCATCTAGGGGATGCTGCAAGGAGAGAGAGTGATGGATCTGAGCTGAAAAGGCCTGGCTGGCGCTATTGCTTCTGCTAGGCTAAGCTGGTTAGTGTGGAAAGCGATTAAGACCCTTAATTAAGAGAGGATGTACCACTGCAGATGCCCACGGTTATGCCTGCAGAGGAGCGCTGCTGGCAGCTCGGCATGCGCTGGGAATGCTGTGCCCGTGTTGCAGGAGCAGCCTTCGCCCCGTCCCTGCGCTCTGCATCTTGGCTGGTATCTCTGAGGTCCGGGAGCATCCCAAATTTAAAAACATCCTTAAGAGGCTTTAAAAAGACCCTCTTGTGTTACATTTTCTAATTTCTGGCTTTCAACTTTGTTCATAAACCTTAAAAGTCACACCATGCAATGTGTCTCTCTTCCCTGACTTCTTTTATCAGTGGTTTTTTTTTCCTTTTTTAATTATTTTTTTGCTTATTTTACCAAAATCTCGTTCTGTACTCCCTAGCAGAGAGATATTAAGTAGGTTTTCTTTCACTTGTTTCTTCCGGCTGCCCGAATCTGTTACCACCTGCCCCACTGAACAAGCCATAGAGGGAAGAAGTGATGTTCTTAGCAGGGATTTTTCCAAGCTCTGAAAATGAACATTTTCCCATCCATTCCAGCAGGAGCTCTGTGTGAGACAGGAAGTGCTCTGGTGAAGACAGAATGGGAGTGATAACAGAGTAGAAAAGAAGAGAAAGCTGTGTGGGACTAGGAAGATTTTGGGCTATAGCAACAGCTTTTAACTCATTAGTGTGATGAAGCCTCTAGTAAGTTCTTTGCTCGATGTATAAATGGATGTTGGAAGCTGTTTAAAACAACACAGGGAATGCGAGAGAGGTGTGCAAGCCCTGGAGAGTTGTGTGTGAGTAGTTTATTAATGTGTGGTGGGATGGAGTTAGGTGAGACACTGAGTCGAGCCTGACTCCCTCGTTCCCCAGCCCTTACTGGGCAGGGCAGCTCCTGGGAGCGCGACTGCATCCGCGTCGCACACATCGCTGGGCTGCAGGCACCTTTCCAGAAGCTGAAATACAGAAGGATGCTTTCATCCCAGATCACTTCAGAGACGCAGTGTTGCTGCGTAAGAACTAGTTCTATCGGAGCCCGGTGCGGCGGAGGAGTGGAAGGCTGAGAGAGGCTAATGGGGAGGTTTTTAAATCCCCGTCATTGATGACCGATGAGAAGGATTGGATCTCTAATGCATGAATGTGCAAACGCATAGTCTGTCGTGTGACTGAAAAGGATTGCTTCATCCTCCCCAGAACTGCTGCCCCCGGCCCAATCCCCTACTCCACAACGCTGACCTGTCTGGAGAGGTTGAAGAAAGCACTTTACAGAGTGCTGGATGTAAAGCATTCAACATGTAAAGGGGGAGATGCAAAGAAAAATGTTCTCTGAAATGGTGGCTGAAAGAGCAAGCAGGCTGTGTCAGCCTATTTCATGCGGTTAATGAAGTGTCACTCACCATCTTTTTTAAAGTGTGTTTTAGAACTGAAGAGGGAATGAGTTTGTCCCTGGTCAGCCTGCTATAAATACTTAAAATAAACAGAATCGTAGCTGGTTTTATATCACAGCATGAAATTTTGTTTTGTTGCTGATGATGCTAACAGTTTTCTTGCCAATCTTAGTTAACTTTTACTACCTTAGCCCCCATTACTTCTGATTTCAGGGTAAATATGACAAAACAAGAAGCTTCTGTGCATGCAGCAGCTACTGTGAAAAAACTCTGATGTGCAGTTTAATGTTTGAAAAGTTAAATCCAGCTGCACAAAAGAGAAACCATCATAAATATAGCTCCATTAATAGCGATTTTATTGCAACACACTTGGCTCCATATGAAACTTTAATGAAGAGAGATTTGCGGGAAAGACTCATGCTGACACCTTCAGTGGTCTCCAGCATTTTTTACGTTGAGAGATTTACACTGTCTGTGAGCACCATATGTACTCTAATCAGTTAATTATGAGTCTGACAGTTTCAGCACATGAAATGCCATATGTTCTCTGTTTTTGTTCCACAGGCATTACTGGTGACCTCCAAACTCATTGACCAAATATTGTCACCTCACCTGCACCTGGTAACTGCAGCACATCTGTTGATGGTGAAAATTGGACATTGTTGATTCTTGTGATATTAGTCACAAATATGCTCCTTGCAAAGGGAGTTACTTAGCAGTCACCCTGGTGTTTAAAGTGCTTAAATTTTACGTGCAGATGCAATAAAATGTTTATTTGAGCAGTTAACTGTTCCTCTTTGCCTCTCACCCAGCTTCTCCCATCACCGCTTTTCTACTTTGCCTTCTTTTTTTTTTTCTGTATTTGACGCATACTTTATGTTTGTCTTGCTTTATCTGCCCTTTGCCATATTTCCTCTCTCCCTCAAAGGTAAATTGCTTCTTGACATAGCAGAACGGGGTTCTGTGATGATGGGAACTTTACAGAGAAATTTCCTCCCATCTGTGCAAGATTAGGAGGAGTCTGTTTTAATTTTCAGATTTCTTCTGCCTACTTTCTCTCCCTCTCTGCTGCCATCCAACCTTTGCTCACTGTTGTTTTTTCTCGGTGACAACTGTAAGAAGCAGTGACAAGATTACTCCACTCACTTTGGATGCCCATAAGGAGCAAATCCGAGTCACTAGAGCTTTCCTGCCACTCCAGAATGGCATATGTTTCACTTGCCCAGACTTCTGCTGTCATTGTAGCATCTTATGTGTGACTCATGTGGGAAAAAACAGGCTCTCTCTGGAGAGGATGCTAATGTGCTCCA